TCCCCACAACAGACACCCTGTGAGGTAGGCGGGGCTGAGAGAGCTCCTTCCAGAACAGTCCTTGAGAGAACAGCTCTGAAAGAACTGTGGCTTGCCCAAGGTCATCCAGCAGCTGCAAGTGGAGGAGTGGGGAATCAAACCCGGTTCTCCCAGATTAGAGTCGGCGCACTGAACCACTACACCAAACTGACTTAAAGGCTTAAAAGAAACCCAGACTTTATTGGAGAATCTGGTACAATGTTAGGAAGGGGGAAACTTATCCTAAGCAAATGCTGGTAACACTAAACCAAAAGGGCAAACAGCATAGCACACAGCTGACCCCATGAATGTGGCAAGAACATAAATGGAGCAGAGCGACTCTAGTTTGGAGAAAGGATTACTTTCGAGGTAAAGGGGTAAATGTGAGGAAAACGGGGAACAGGACAGAGGGGAAATGGGACCTGTAGAGACAAGAGGAGTCCGTTCCTCCAGAGGGGAGAGGAGCAAAATGCCAGCTCTCTGCATGGCTGGAAATCGGGGAGATGAATTCAGAGGGGAAGCAAAGTCTGTAGAAATCAGGCTGGAAGAAGGAGGGATCCAGTGCGGGGGGGGGGGCCTGTGTCGCAATCCGAGCTGTGGCCCATTTTTTCTGGAGGGCCCCCAGATTGCCCGCAGCATCGGAAAGCGGAAACACCCCCCCATCCGTTGGGCAATCCGATATGGGAAGATTGCGCAAGAGAGTGTTTTGATAGACTGCCCCCACACACCCCACTCTCCCAGTTGCCAGCCTGGCACATGGGGAGGCTCCACCCACTAGGCCTTCCTGGCAGTTGCTCCAGGCCTCCAGGTGCTGAGCACCACGTCCTCCCCCTCCCCCTCCAAAGCCTTGCCACCACTTCCTGCAGCAGCGTTCAATAATCTTTGGGTGAAGAAGTAAGAACATAAGAGAAGCCAGTGTTGGATTAGGCCAGTGGCCCATCCAGTCCAACACTCTGTATCACACAGTGGCCAAAAATACCGGGTGCCCTCAGGAGGTCCAGCAGTGGGGCCAGGACACTAGAAGCCCCCTCCCACTCTTGCCCCACTCCAAATACCAAGAAGACAGAGCATTACTGGCCCCAGATCGAGCGTTCATACAAGAACATAAGAGAAGCCAATGTTGGATCGAGCCAGAGGCCCATCCAGTCCAACACTGTCACACAGTGACCAAAAATACCAGGGGCCATCAGGAGGTCCAGCAGTGGGGCCAGGACATTAGAAGCCCTCCCACTGTTGACCCCCCCCCCCAAGCACCAAGAAGACCGAGCATCCCTTGCCCCAGACCGAGAGTTCCTATCTATACCTTAAGTACACAACACAAGACAATGTTGGATCAAACCAAAGGCCCCTCCAGCCCAACACTCTGTGTCACACGGTGGTCAAAAATACCAGGTGCCCTCAGGAGGTCCAGCAGTGGGGCCAGGACCCTAGGAGCCCTCCCACTGTTGCTCCCACCCCAAGCACCCAGAAGACAGAGCATCCCTTGCCCCAGACTGAGAGTTCATATAAGAACATAAAAGACGCCAATGTTGGATCAGGCCTAAGGCCCCTCCAGTCCAACACTCTGTGTCACAAGGTGGCCAAAAATACCAGGTGCCCTCAGGAGGTCCAGCAGTGGGGCCAGGACCCTAGGAGCCCTCCCACTGTTGACCCCACCCCCAAGCACCCAGAAGACAGAGTATTGCTTGCCCCAGACCAAGAGTTCATATAAGAACATAAGAGAAGCCAATGTTGGATCAGGCCCTGCAGCCTCTGACCCACAGAAGCTGAAACGGCTCATCCGCATGGCCCGGAATGGGACAGTGGGTGGCTTTGTACGCCCCCCAACTGGGGTCTCTGGAGACTGAGCAGGGTGTCACCCTTAGAGCGTCGCGGTGGGATCCGGGAGATGCAGGTTCAAATCCTCACTCTTGTCGTGGTAGCTTGCTGGGCGACCTTGGGCCAGTCACAGGCTCTCAGCGTTGGGTCCCCATTGGGGAGGCCAGTGGGGTATTTGCTAATCTGGCCTGTGGATGCGGGAAAGATGGACTCAGCCAGGAACTCCTGGGTCAAGCCTTATGAAATTTCAGTGAACAAAGACCTGCCTGTTAGACGGGCTTGCTACCTGGAGACTCTGAGCTCAGGGGGTGTCTGCCTCCAGCCAAGATGGACGTGGGCTTCGTGCGGGCTTCCGAGAGGGGGGCTGCCATCCGTGGAGACAAATTTAGAGTCCAGCTGGGCGCCTTTAAGACCAACAAAGGTTTATTCAAGGTACGAGCTTCCGCCTGCAAAGCACACATTTTCAGCTACACTGGAATGGGAGGTAGAGTTCACACTTGTAGGCAGAGACGGAGCAGCAAATTAACATGTAACATGATGAAGAGGTGTTAAGATATCCGAAGACAAAACTAAATAACAAGGTGAAGTTATAAGGTCAACAGTTGTTTTGATTTAATTAAGGGGGGAAAATAAGAGTGCAGCAATAAATACTGTCAAACCGGGGCGGATGAAGGCTCACCGGTGCCCTAAGCACTGATCAGTCTTGGTGCTCCCCCTTTCCATTTTAGTTGTTGCCTGCCTGACCATTTGGAATTCTGTGTGCAGTTCTGGTCACCACACCTTAAAGAGGATATTATAGCTTTGGGAAAAGGGCAGAAAAGGGCAACTCGAATGATAAAAGGGTTGGAACACTTTCCCTATGAGGACAGGTTAAAGCGCTTAGGGCTCTTTAACTTGGAGAAACGACAGCTGAGGGGTGACATGATTGAGGTCTACAAGATTATGCGTGGGAAAGAGCAGGTAGAGAAAGAGGTACTTTTCTCCTTTTCTCACAATACAAGAACTCCTTGTGGGCACTCCATGAAATGGCTGAGTGGTCGGGTTAGAATGGATAAAAGGAAGTGCTTCTTCACCCAAAGAGTGATGAACACATGGCATTCACTGCCACAGGAAGTGGTAGCGGCCACAAGCATGGACGGCTTCAAGAAGGAACTGGATAAACATATGGAGCAGAGGTCCATCAGTGGCTATTAGCCACAAGGTATAGGTAGGAACTTTGGGGCAAGGGATGCTCTGTCTTCTTGGTGCTTGGGAAGGGGGGGCAACAGTGGGAGGGGGCTTCTAATGTCCTGGCCCCACTGGTGGACCTCCTGAGGGCACCTGGTATTTTTGGCCACTTGTGACCCAGAGTGTTGGACTGGATGGGCCTTTGGCCTGATCCAACATTGCCTTCTCTTATGATCAGACATAGGATGCAGGCTGCAGTAATACAAAAATTTATTCATAGGATAACAGAATATAGTGTGTACAAACTAAGCTCTTCGCCCTTTTCCCCAACTTTGTGGTGCCCCCTTTGGCCCCGGTTCCCTAAGCACCTGCTTAGTCGGCTTCATGGTTCATCCGTCCCTGCTGTCAAAATAGGAGATAAATGTGTAAAGGCGTCTTTCCTCATGGTGCCAAGCGACCCTGGAGACAGGAGGCCTGATCCAGCAGCGGTGCCGGCTCATGAGAGGCAGCTTGGGGGCTTGGAGAGGGCCGGCCGGCCGCC